GCTGGGGAGGCAACTGCCAGCAGGTCCCCAACTTCCAGAGACACACAGTGGGGCCACCACACTGCAGGACAGGGCCTTTCCCTGCTCACCGCCACTCCTGAGCCATCTCATCTGCCCCTCCCCGGGCTGAGACAAGCTGCCCCCAGAGGCCAAGAGCCCGCCAAGCATGCCGCACCCAGCTCCCTGCCTCCCTGCCTCCGTCCCACCTGACTGAACAGAGGGGGCTGTGCCCACCAGGCCCCGGGGCCTCACCCTTCCCTGCACACGGCCAGCTGCTTCTTGACATGGGCCACCGCGCTGGGCCTCTGCGGTCAGTCTGCGGGTCCCAGCCTGCCTCTCTCTCCCTCGACACCCACCATCTCAGGGCCACCTGGAGTTCCGATCCGTCGCTCAGCTGACTTGGAAGCGAGCACAGACACCACCTGCCCATCTTTCGTGCCCTGCCCTCCCGTACTCGGGGTGCCCACGCGTCCTCACGGCCACTACATCCCCCTGTGCAGGCCAGGAAGCGGGGCCCCCAGAGGTAGCAGACCTGGGGTCGCCCAGTAGTGACCCAGCTCAGCCACCAGGCCTCAGTTTGCAGAGCTAGGTCTTTCCGGCTAACGGCCTCCCCATGGAGCCCTGGCAGCAGGTGACTGGATGGGTGGCAGCACCCCTCCCACCGCCTCCTCACAAACAAGCTGGGGGCTCCCAGGGGCTTTCACTAGGAGGCTCCCAGGAGGTGCGAGGGGGTCGCGAGGGAGGGCGCCACTGCTGGTGGCCAGCGTCACGTCAGGGTTCTGACCCCCCAACCCCTGTCCTCGGGGACCCCTTCAGCCAGGAGCGGGGCATCTGTCCACCTCACCCCACGTTATACTGCAGTCCTGGCCCCGCCCCCTCCACATACAGCCTCAGGAGGTGGATACCGCCAACTCCATTTCACCAACAAGGGAAACTGAGGCTCGGGGAGGTGGAGGGACTTGGACCCAGTAAGGGTGGAGCGAGGGCACACTGTCCTGCAGGCGGCGGCAGTCCCGGACATGCCTGGCTTCAACGCACGCTGGGGAGGCTTCTCATAGAGGCGCCCGGTCGTCCGGTCACTGTCCGTGTGCAATCACAGGGCTGGGCCCATCTACAGCCCCCACACACCCGTGTCCTCCTCTCTCCTGCTCTCAGACCTGCCCTTGGCTGGCCCTTCAGTCGGGATGTGGCTGAAGGGCCCCGCAGAGCCCCCTCTCTCCCCACCCTGCTGGGCAGCACCCTCCCGGGCACGGGCCCTGGCAGCTCAGGCCGTTTCCATTTTAAACCTGAGGAAGCCCTGAACAGTCGCCCACGGAGGGAGCCGGAGCGGCACCAGCTGACAGGTGATGTTTGCGCCTCTCGCCTCTCCGGGGGCTGGCAGGGAGAGATGCACTTGGCTTTCACTCCAGAAACCTGAGCCTGGAGCCCCTGAGCGTGGCCACCTTCCCCACACGGCTGGGCAGAGAGGGGCATGCCCCCGCCCACTTCCCTGTGCCAGTGGAATCCAGCACCCTGCCCGGCTTGGTGCCCCCACACAGGCCAACTCCTAAGCCCCCTGGGGAGGGGCCAGCAGGGGCGGGTCTCCATCCTCCCTGAGGGCTCAGGGTCCAGGGTGGGGCAGGGCTGGACTCAGCGGCCCCCTCTGCCCCCAGCCAGGCCTTTATTCCTAGCAGGGCTCTGGCTGGGGCTGCAGGGGCCTGGCGCACCCCACCCAGCTGGGCTGTATTATCTTAAAACCACACACCGGGAGCCTTGCAGCCCTCAGGGCACCTGGACGCCTGGGGCCGCTCCCTGATGCCTCCAGCTCCTCAGGAACTTTCTCCTCGGAGACCTCGGATCAGCCAGGCTCCCCGCAGCTGGGGGCGGCTCTCCAGCCTCCTTCCCTGGGCCTCTAGTCCCCCGCGAGGAGGGCGTGTGCCTGGCCTCGGGCTCGGGTGGGGGGCTCGCTGCCCTGGGACGCAAGCACATCAGTCCCACGACTCCAGCCCAGGTGCACCGCCCCAGCCCCGGCCGCACAGGCCCACAGTCCACAGCGCGCACGGGAGGGAAGTTGGAGCTGCTTATGCCCCCCTTGAAGTCGTTTTAAAAATAAAACCTCGTTCCAGCCGTGACTCACGCAGTTGGTGGGGACCGGAACGCCGCGCCTGGGCCGGCCGGCTGCCTCTCTCCAGGCTCCCCAAACCCTCTGGTTTCTGGGTGCGAGGCCGGAACTGTAACCA